TCATCGATGAAGGTGACATAATATAATGAGCATGCAAGAGATGGAATTAGAGATGGTCCCCACACGTCAGTATGAACCAACTCTAACTTTTATGCCTTGGGTGTCTTGCCAATCTTTGCAAAATTGACTTTATTTTGTTTGCCAAAGATGAAATCATCGCATAGTCCGACATCTATACTCTTTAGATCCGACAGCTTCCCTTTTGACAAAAGTGTCTTCATCCCTTTCTCGCTCATATGGCCAAGCCTTTGGTGCCATAGGTTTGATTTTCCATCAGCATATGCTACTGCAATGATATTCTCTAAATTTGAGGTTACACAGAGAGTACCAGTCTTCTTACCACGAGCAATGACGAGTGCTCCTTTGGTAATCTTCTATTCACAGCCTGAAAAGGTTGTGCTATATCTCTCTCCATCAAGCTGTCCTACAGAAATCGAATTTCTTTTGAGGCTAGGAATATATCTTACTCCTTTCAGCGTCCAGGTGGTCTGGTTTGGCAACTTTAATCGGATGTCTCATTTTCCGACGATCTTCAAGGTTTCATCATCAGCTAGATGAACCTTCTCAAAATCACCACTGACATAGTTCTCCATGATTTCTCGGCATGGGGTGGAGTGGAAAGATGTTCCTAAATCCAAGATCCATAATTCAATCGGACTGTTGACGCTTAGAATCATGGAATCACCTGTATCCTCTGTCATGTTGGCAGATTCCTGTGCGCCGATATTTTTCTTCGGTGCTCGGCAATCCTTTTTAAAGTGGCCATTCTTGCCGCAATTATAACAGGTAAAATCTTTCTTTCCCGTTCTGGATTTTCCCGTTCTGGATTTGGATCTGCCACGATTTGAATTTATTTCTGAAGTTCTCCCTCTGGACTTTGTGTGCAAGGCTGAGGAGGTTGATGCTTCACCCGATTCTCTCCGTTGAATTTCTTCACTCAATACCAGATCCCAAACATCGTCGAATTTTAATTTGCTGTTTCCCGACAAGCTGCTGACTACTGTAACAGTAGCATTCCAACTGTCTGGTAGAGACGATAAGAGAATTAAAGCTCGAACTTCATCATCGAATTCAATTTCCACGGAACTCAACTGGGTTGTGATTGTGTTGAGTTTATTTAGGTGTTGAGCCACCGATGCTCCTTCCGCTATCCGCAAATTGAATAATCGCCTCATCAAATGAACTTTGTTTAAGGCTGATGGCTTCTCATACATACTGGAGAGAGCCGCCATAAGACCCGTCGTGGTCTTTTCCTTTGCTATGTTGAAGCAACATTGCGGGATAACGTCAGTCGGATAACTCCGAGGGCTTGTCTGTCGAGAAGAGCTCAGTCTTCATTCTTCATGCCCTCTAGTTGCTTTCCTAAGAGAGGTTGATATAGATTTTTCTGGTACAGAAAATCTTTAATCTGCATCTTCCAAAAGCCAAAGTCCGCACCATCGAACTTTTCAATTTTCACCTTCCCTTCGTCTGCAGCCATCGCTCCCACTCGAATATGGCTTCTTTGGATCGTTCTGACAATTTTCGAGAACCGCCGTATATTAGAACACCTCCGTCGACAAATTTGTATCGCCGACAAAAATTCACTATTCATGTGAATAGTAATAAATAATAACCCCGCAAAAATTGACAAAATTCACAACCAAAAGCTCTGATTACCAGTTGTTGGGAAATAAACGAGTAAACAAGTAATTTCCCTATAACCAGATTAGTAAGAATGTGAAATAAAAGCGGAAAAATAATACCCGAAAATTGATAACGGAGTTCAGCCAATTGTGCTTACGTCTCCGGACTACTGCAGATCTTTTACAAAGAGAGAAAATTTACAGGTGTTTACAAAACACTCATTACTCATAAGAAACTCTCTAGTATTGAGAGAAAGAAATGATTTGGGATTTGGGATGATTTTGAAGCTAAATGAGCTAGGGTATTTATAGTTGAAACTTAGGGACTAATCTTTGAAAATACCCTAAAGTGCAATGACTAAAGTGAATTTACCCATTCCTATTTTCAACAAACATCTACCAAATTTTACCAAACTTTGAAAAACATTTTTCAAAGAAACATTTACTAAACTTTGAACTAACTTTTAACAGTACCAACTTTCGGTGTTGAAATTTGATTGTAAAGATTTGGAAAAAAAATTACAAGTTAATGATGTCATTAAATGGCTCAAAGGAAAGATTGTTTAGTACCCTGTGAAGGGTTAGTCAGGGCCTACTTAAATAATCGAGTTTAAAATATATTTTTTTATTAAGGATTTAAAACATTATAGGTAGTTTAATGAAAATGTAAAATATATCTTTGATCTTTCTAAACTACACATTTTATTGTTTAAAAGAATCTACACATTATTGCTACAGAATTATATTTCTTGTGTCAATCTTCTCAAGAATTATAACCCCACAACATTAAATGATAGGTTGTTACATGATAGAAAGCATCATTAATTGCACTAATTAATAATTAGGAGATATAAACAATATTAAACATAAAAACCTTCAAAAATACATTGTAAGATTTTTGTTCAAGACAATAATATTTATGAGTGTGTATGTATTCTTAAGCAATATCACAAGTACAGGGACAGAATGAGGATTTCAATTGAAGGGGACAAAGTATAATTGATTGTAGAAAATATAAAGTAAAGTATAATTAATCATAGAAAATCAATAAATAAAATTAAAATAAACTAAAATTTGGAACTTTAATCTAATATTTGTCCATATTTTTTTTAATAAAAAAATAGTGGGTTGGGGGCAGTGGCCCCTGGGACAAGGAATAGCTCCGTCCCTATATAAGTGAACCCATCAAATTGTGTTGTTTCATTAGAAATCTTAGGGTCGAATAATTGTGTTTGTAAGGGTGTATGCGTTGTTAATAGATTAAGAAATTTTACATATATCTTATTATTACCTCATACTATCCAAGAAAAGAGTAATACCATAAGCAATCTAAGTCTTTTTTATTCTAGGGTAAGTACAAGACATTATCTATTCAAATATAAATCTCAACCATATGACATTGAACACTCACACTCCTGACATTCCTAGTGCACTCACACCCCTGACATTCCTGGTGCTCGAACCTGAAACTTTAAAGAATAACAACAATTTATTTACCACCGAAATTGCTAGGTTCATGCCTAAGCAATCCAAATTGAAAAAAAAAAGAGTTAATTGTATAAAATGTCCCTAAAAAGTAATTCCTAATCTTTTAAACATTCTTTATGAGTCCTCAAACTATCGTATTATTCTATTAACTCATGGTTAACTCCATTAATTTTTAAAGGTCTTGAGAATTGAACAAATGACATAAGAATAACTTATTTTTTATTGTCTTGGGAATTGAACTCATAACCTTCCAAAATTTTATAATTTTGTTTATGAAGATCATGAAAAAAAAATTCAGTGTTACAAATTCTTGAAATTTTAAGAAACATATTAATTTATTAACTAATAACGTGTCAAAATGAAATGATATTGATAGTTTGATAATTGATATAAAATATTTTAAAGTTTATGAATCAATTTAGCATGTGATTATAATATAATGATTAATTTAAAATAAGAGACATAATTAGATATAGGGATGGGCATGGGTCGGGTTGGGTCGGGTCGGGTTTTTAGTCCACTCGACCCGACCCGAGAACAAGGAGTCCTCCACCTGAAACCCGACCCGATCTGACCAAAACAAGTTTTCACCTGACCCGAACCCAACCCGATATATAACATAAAAATCCAACCCGACCTGACCCGAAATAATAAAAAAATATTTTTATTCAATAAAAACAATGACTTAATTGAAAAAAATTAATATATATAGGGATATTATTATAATTATTCATAAATATATAATGTAAAATTATATATTTTTTCGGGTCGGGTCGGGTCGGGTTTTTTTCACCCTAAACCCGAACCCAATTTTTTTTTAAATAAAATCTAATTCGATCGGTTCGAGTCGGAACCCGCCGAGTTCATGTCCCATGCCCATCCTAATTATATAACATTATGTACAATTATTTCAAACAAAAAATAACACAAAGGCAGTTACAAGGTAGACTAGAAAGGAAGCATCAGGATGTCTGGATGAATTTAAGTAGATTTACACAATTTTACCATAAGCCTATCGATACTTGAGAACTGAGAATTGCAAATCTACTTGCTATAAATCTATTTATGTAGATTTACTATCCCATATCATAGCGAGAATTAGGAATAGGGATTTGTGTTGAAGCATTTGGGTCCTTCTTGACCAAATGTACAAGCCAGAAACATCATCTACTGTTATCCCATTGTACAAGGAAACCTTTTTACACGTGACATCGATCTGCCAATATATCAACATTCTTCTATGGTAAATACTCTACAAGTTTCATATTTCTAATAGCTGGTGATGCATGTCTCATTCAATCGCCCCCAGCTACATGCAAAACAAAGAAAACCCTTTTCTTTAGCTATTATCATCAACCCATTGCTTGAAACTGCCATGGGTGTTCATTAGATCAAGCAGTGTAGGTATATATTGAAAGGAACCTCCAACAGAAATGATTTTTGACCCTTGTCTAATGTCTACTACTAACAACAATATTGAAAAGCTGATGATTTTCCTTTTCAGTTCACATTAATTTTAGGATGCATCTGCAACCAGATGTTTACGTTAGAATTTAGAAAAATTATATGTATATAGCTGGAGTTACATATGTATCTATTGACATATTCCCACCACCACATTTCCACTTTAAGGAATACCTATACTATACTGTAATTTTTTTCCTTGAAATACTGCATACATGTCAATTGTGGGGAAAATATGGTAACCAATATTGTTTTTTTGGCACTTTAATGCATTAAATTGAATGAAGCAACATAAGATAAACTGAATCTGTGAAGGATTCCAAAGGAGGGGGGGAATGGGTTCTAGCTATCCTAGTGTATGTCTCTATACGAATTAAAATTCATAATATCTGAAAACATATGGAAACTGAAGGAAAATGTGTTTTTTCTTCTCTAACTGCTAAAAAGCTATCATCGTCTTTTCTGCTAACTTTTGCATGTTACTTTTGAACATATATGATCATAATGATGAGCTGGAAAACCAAAGCTAGAACTGTTACGTATACTAGGAGGAAAAATAGTTAAAAAAGATGGGTTTTTTTTTATGATTAAGAAGAAATACCGACACCAAGAAAATCTATGAAAGTAACATCCTTTGTGTTGTCTGGTTCATCTTCTTTCTCCTGCCGAGAATTACTGGCTCTGGCATTTGCAGACTTGGGTGCATTATCGTTTATGCTCAACAACTCCTTCACCATCGCACCAGCGTTGCTTTCATGTTTGAGGTATAAAGAACTTGGAAAGACCCTTCTGTAATTTTGGATTCCAAATGCAGTTGAATTTCTGAAGCTGCTACAATATGCTGAAGCATTTGAATGGTAATAATAACTAGAAGCAGAAGGCAGCAAATGACTCTTTCCATCTCGTATCCACAACTGTGCGACTGAAGATGAATTGTTTGAAGCCACCATTGTTGGTGAAGCGAAATTCCAAGATGGTGAAGAAGTAGTTGATGTGGATGAGACTAAGAAAGCCCTCTCTTTACCTTGGTTTTGAAACTCAAAAACCCTACTGTCTCCAAACCCAATTCTCGAGCTGAATGCCTCTTGGCATCTCGTTAATTTCCTTGAAGTACTAAAAACGGTAGAGCTAAAGGCATCTCGAAAACTTCTCTTCCCGCTCAGCTTGGATTGTTCTCTTTGTTTCCTAGCCATTATAACATGCCAGTGATTCTTTACTGCATTATCGGTTCTACCAGGAAATAATCTAGCTATTAATGCCCATTTGTTCCCATGGATACGATGAGCAGCAAACAGCCTCTCTTCTTCTTCTTCTGTAAATGGCCTTCTATTGATTCTAGGATCAAGTTGATTAAACCACCTCAATCTGCAGCTCTTCCCTGGAAAAAAAATAAAGATGCATAGAAATTAGACCATATATTAAAATTAAAGGGCATGATTGAAGATCACAAAGATCTCCTGTGCTATTGAAATTTGAGACGCTATTATTAATTAAAAACTTTGCTTAAGTAGGTAGAGGAGAAATATATGACTTATGTGAAGAAAAATGAAATCCGAAAATAAACTAATCAACAACCTATATATGACCTCACCAACTCTATCATGGAGGAAGAAACATCTTTTTCTGATTTAATCTTAAGTTTTGAATCAGCTTATGTTATGATCAACACTTTGCATTCTTGATCATCATACTTTTAACAACTCACCAAAGATTAGATTCAAAATTTAAACCAAGTTTATTATATATATTCCAATTTCCAACAGTAATGATCAATTGAATCACCTGATCTTCCTTGAAGCTTTTCTGCAATAGAGTTCCAGTTCTGTGCACCATACTGTTCAACAAGCTGCCTAAGCTTTTCGTCCTCTGCAGGTCTCCAGTGTCCTCGAGGACAAGTCTTGTTGACGTCATCACTAGAGGCAGCTCCCGAATCCTCCATTGATAAATTAAGATGGATATGTTAATGATCACAAGAGCTAGCTAGGGGGAGATCAGCCGAGCTGCACAACTTGTCATGAAGCACGGCAAAATAGAAGCCCCCAAAGAAGATATATAAAGGAGCAAAGAGGGAAAACAATGAAACAAGGAAGTGCGGTTGGTTTAGGGTTGTGGATGGGAAGTCACTTTTGTTGGTTTTACACGACACATTAAGCCTATATGTATCTGTAGAACCACTTGCTGACTAACCCTTTCTTTCAACTGATATGCTATTGGCCCATGAACCACTCTCTTATATTATCAACATTTTCTCAACCATATATATATATATATATATTATATTCTTCATTAATTGCTTGCTTCTATCTTTTCTCATACAAGTTTAAGCCATGATTACGTTAAATCAAACCTGGTGATTAGGGCAGCTGGTAGTTTTTATTAAAGGGACAGCTCTCCTGGTGCAAATTCATTAACAAGGGATCATGATTTACAATCATGATTTATCATCTTTAATATACTTTTATTTCGTTTTCGAAGGGTGATTTGTCATGCTTATAGTGCATGGATGATCCTTCACATTACTAATCAACACTGATCTTTTTTTTTTAATAATTAGTCGATTAGTACGAAATTTGCAAAGTATATTGATTACTTAATATGAGGTAAACGTTTCAAGCTGTGAATTACATCAATTTCAAACTTAGTTAAGATTCAAACCCTCTAATTATCAAGAATGTTTGTATAAAAAACTCAAATTAAAGATAATGCAATTTATTAGTTGATAACTAAGAAAATTTAAAGATGTTTTGGACACTTTTGTCGTGCTAACTGGTGATGTTATGAACACAAAGATCCCAATGAAATGGTTCATTAAAAGTACATAATAAGTATTAAAAATTTAAAACAGAAAAGGCATTAAAATTTATGGTTTCTTTAAAAAAATGTAATAATGTTGAATTTATGAAAGTTTTATCTTCTGGGCACATCATGGTTCAGATTTGAAGCACTTTAATGTATAATATTGCAGTTGGAATCAGTGGCCAAAATTTTGGCAAAACTGGAAGCCGTCATATGCCAGAATCACGAACAAGATAATGTTATGATTAGCAAGCGTTTTAAAGCATGCACATGCACCCATTATCTAAATCAATTTGATCATTCTTAGTTTAGGATTTGATTAGTATTTGATACATGCATTTAATTTTAGGCGTCATTAGTGAATTAGACGGTAATATATCACTATAAAAGTTTAAAATTATTTTTTTATAAAATTTATTTTTATTCATGTATCTTATTTACTGATGATACATAAAATTACATACTTTTACTAAATTAAATATTTATCCTTAAAATTTTTTAATTTATTTATTTTAAATAGAATTTTGATGATTGTTTTTAGTTAATTCTGATTTGCAAAAAGAAAAATTACACCCTTACTATCCAATTTGTTCATTCCAGGAGGAAAAAAATGAAAAAGAAAATCTTTCGTATGCAGGTCAAGGTGTGTCTAGCTATACGCATTCTGGGACCAAACACCTGTTATTTTGTTCAACATTCCTAATATTTTCATGATGATAACAAATTTCAGACAAAAGAAGCTAACTTCCTGGTTTGTTTTCCTATATTATATTATTTTCCCCGACGGTAAAAATAGTACGTAAATTCCTTCCTCCGTTTCGTAAACAACGATGGCTGCCATTGCACGTTTGTCCTTCTTGTTATAGCAAATAACAAATCAAACCGAGCATAATTAAATATTTTAATATAGGAACTGTAATATCAATAAGTTACGTAAACATTATTATTTTATGATTTAAATCTTCTTATATCGATATTTATTTGAGTTATCCACTACTAGAAAAAACTCCTTTAATGACGCGTATTGCTCGTCTATCTATGGGTGCAGATGATACACAAATACGCGTCATTGAAGCCACCGTCATAAATCTCATATGACACACAATTGTGTGTCATAAATCTAAGATGCGCATTTATAACACGCATTTATGACGCGCATTGCGCGTCATTGAAGCCCCATCATAAATGAAGATGGCACACATTTGTGTGTCATAAATTTATGACACGCATTTATGACTTACATTTACGATTTACATTGCGTGTCATTGAAGCACACGTCATTAAAAAAAGATGACACATATTCGTGTGTTGTGATTGTATGTCGTAAATTATATATATATATATATATATATATATATATATATATATATATTTGCATACAATAAATTAACATTAAGTTATCAAAAATATTGTAATCATATGTTGATACAAAATATCATGGCATAATAAAGTTTGCCACATAAGATACCCATTCTTTGCGAATATCATATATGTCATCATCCGTGTATTCTTCCTTCTCATCGCCAACCTAAGTAAAAAATATGATATAAGTATATAATTTTATACTTATTTAAAGTGAAGTATATAACTATCAAAGAGTACTAAAATGACCAATTTTACATATGCATTCTTTGAAACATATGTAAAAATAAATTTTACACATTTAATTAGTAAAACTTCCCATATAAATTATATACATTATCACGGCTCGAATTCACAGTTTTCAGTCTTGCTAACAAGTACTTGCATTAATTTGTTTAGAATAGCATCCTACTTCAAGTCCATATGATAGTTGTATGACTAATGTGTATGTTTGATATGACAGATGTGTATCAGAAAAGTTTGCTTACATTCTTATTGACCAACACTTCAAGTCCGTTCTCGACTATCTCTTTCATGAACTTACAAACATAATATCCACAATCGGTACCTCCCGACTGACGGGGACACTACAAAGAGTTTACAATAAACGATTAGTCAAAATGAAAGCTACAATTTAAACAAGGAATGATCGAAGTCCTCACCAAAACATTGATCCAATTGAGGCTAACCCTTTTGTTAGATCCACTTTGAGCAGTGTATAATATCATTGCCCTATAAAAATTGATGAAATATATCAAAGAACATACTATAATGTTTCGATAATTTATGTTACTTTCGCATCAATAATCTGTTTCAACTGCTGATGGACATTGATGGGCCCCAAGGAATCAAGATAATAACAATTTGTTGCTTTCATATCTATCATCGCCAACATCCAATGTCTTCTATAAAAACCAAAAACCAAATTAAGTTACTAAAATATATTGATAATCAAATGAAAAAACAAACATGGGATTATATGGCACTAGGACGATGTCATTGTCCTTTCTTAGAGACAATCGATCTGCAACGCTTCGAATTGCCTCATTGCTATTTTTGAATTTTTCCTTACGTCCTGATGGCAAGATTGCAGACAGGCTCACAAAGCAAATTCCATGATCTCTTTTTATCCCATTCTTGATTTCCTCAAACAAGTACCTATATATTAACATACAAAAACTAAAATGATTAAATATATTGTGTTTTACTAAAATTAAAATTAAGCACTTACATCATATAACAAGTAATCGCAGAATCGGTCATCTCATCCACAGTAAAAACCACTTCAAAATCTTCCCAAGTTATGTACGTGAAACTCTCGTACCCAAACATATCGTCCTCACATTGCACTTTCACGGACTCTACATTTTTAAGTTGTATATCAACCATACGTGCAAACACTTTCAAAACACGGTTGCTTTCAACTCTTAGCCTTGTCCTCATTTATGCTCTCTTCCTCATCCTTTGCGGTGTTCCCTCCTCCTTTCCCCCCCCTCTTCAGTGTCCCTTCTCCCTTCTCCTTTCCCCTCTTCATTTTCTTTCTTTTTTTCCGTCTTCGGTGTCCCTTTTCCTTTCTCCTCTTCTTTTTCAACAAGTTCTCTTTGTCGTTTTTTTCTTTCTTACTATCTACTTCATCTCTGTTCACACGTTTTTTTTCCATCAAAGCCAACACTTTTTCCTACAAAAAAAATATAAAGAAATTATTTAAATTAGGCCTATATAATTTCTTTAAATAAATGAAAATATTACCAAATCAGAGCATCGAATGACTAGATGTCTAGGCCACTTCACTAGGTACCCCACTGCATCTTTAACCTTGTAAATGAACTCCTCATCTAGTGGAAACAATAGTAAAGCGTCTCCTTGCATACTCATTTCCATCATTACTTCAATGTTTTCACCTGTTATATAAAGGTAAAGCTAAGATCCAATATTCTAAAAATGAAAAAAGAAAATTGATATTTTTTGTAATACCTGATATATTGTGCTTCACTATCGTTCATTTGGCAACTATATTGGAGGCAATATCAATCGCAAGATAATAGGATGTATCCTACAAATATATAATATTAGTTGTAGTCAAGACTTACATTTAATTCATACTATAATTTAAAAAGACTTGCAAGTAATTCCTTGGGTGGGTTGTCTTCAAAATCTGCTTTGTCCCACCCTTGGCAACTTGCGCCTTCAGAAGCATGATTTATCCCTTTTTGTAGTTTCTCTATTGCACCTTCAATTTTGTTGAACCTTTGTTCATTCTTTTTCTTCTCACCATCTAAGTAGTTCTTCACGGTCTTGGGTAAGTAAAAGTATTGGTGTGGCCTTACAAATTTGCTCATCCCTTGTACATGCCCACGTTGTTCCTGGGTACCTAGGGCTTGGGTAAGCATGTCATTTGTTCCACATGTGACCTCTCCTAAAGTTTCTGAGTTCTGCATCTCTTCCTGTAGTGAAAGAAAATATTCATATTCAAAAAAGTCAAATGATTAAAGCTCATAATATCAAACCAGATGATCCTATCATTTTTGAAAGTTTGATGTTTGTTTATTCAGCTTGCATTGAATGACGCTGAGCAGTTTATGAACTTAAAAAATAATTATAATGGCATATATCCTGAAGGCTAATGCACTGATTTTGGTGAGTATTTCAACTTATTCTGCACTGTTTGCTTAAAATTACTCTATGAACCAATCACAACTCCATGCAGCCATACTTTGGGTGATTTTGACCCGTTTGCTTTTTAACTAAAGATATTGAATCAGGAGATGTTGCAAATGAGAGTTCTGGTTCTGAGAAAGAGTGGTCTTTGGTGTTTGAGGAGCAAAGAAAGAAAATAATACAACTATGGAATGAATGCAACATTACATTGCATTACATGACCTATTTTTTCTTACTTATCACAGGTGATCCATCAAATTCTGTGTATATTGAGGTAGAGCTATTGTTC